GGTTTAGGGCTTAGGGTTCAGTTTGGTTGCAGGTGTTGTATGGGGACATGTAGGTTTCAGGGTTTGGGTTAGGGTTCAGGGATATGTAGGGTTTAGTTTCTTTCAGTTGGGGTTTAGGGATATGTAGGGGCTTAGGGTTGCAGAAGCCCTGCATAGTGCTTAATCAAGCCCCCCAAACCCCCCTTGTTAGCCCCCTTGCCAATTGGGATCCCTTTTTGAGAGATTCATGCTTAGCTGGGAATGAGGGAATGAATGGGTCATAGGCACTAGATTAAAAGTTGTAGTGGGGATGAAGTGGGGATTACTGTAGCGGATCCCTTCTTGACGTTAACAGGGCGCCTACATTTTTCAAATCGAGCCCCTGCATCAGGGTTGCAGCTTTTCAGCAAGGGTTCATGCAAGAGGGGAAAAAAGCGCTGGTGAGGGTTCACTGTGCCGGCTCTGCCTGTGAAAAGCCAGAAGGCCGGCAATTTTGTTCATGGAGGGTGACGTTTGTCCAGTTCGCGCTCATCCCACTAGGTGGCAAGTCGCCTGTGGGTCATCCTGTCGTGCTGGGAAAGCACCTTTCAGGTAACAGGAAAGAAATGGATACAGTCAGGTCATTAACCGGCCTAATCAAGACTTGTCCATGCTCTATGTTCCCAAGTAATTCTGGCACAGCACTGGAACGCTGATTGACCTCCCAATCCGCCGCAGCAAGATCAACACACGCTCCTTTATCTCTTGCGCTGTTTTGAAACACCCCGGTTGTTGAATACTCCACCTCGTTATACGTAGCAACGGGAGCACTCAATCTCTCAATCGTGGGGTGGTGGCGTGGTTCATTGTAAAATTACGCGACGTTCATACTACTACTGATACAAATCCCAGTACTATTTTTACTGCATATACAAATGCTAATGCTAGTCTCAGTGTCCGTAACCAGGGGAAGAGATCAGCCCTTCTCCAGGTTGAGCTTCGCGAGGCCTGGCCCTACATCCAGGCCGGCTTTCAAACTATGATACGTTTGGGGTGGCCAAACTCCTGATGAGGTCCTAAAACCCCATATTTGACCCTAAGCCTTAACCCTCAACCCTAGGCTTAAAACTTAAAAACCTTTACCCTAAGCCTTGAACCCCCAAACCCTCAGCCGAGCCCATCTTTCATGACGGCGGAAGTAGCCTGTAACTATAGGTTTGATTAAGCCCCCGCCTAGTAATGCAGGTTAGGGTTTAAGGTTTATAGTTGAAGGAAACCTTACAGCGCATATAGGGTTTACAGGGATATATAAGGAATATTATACATGGGTTTCGCCTTCCAAAAATTAGGAGTCCCTTTTTGGAACTCCGGATCATAGAGCTCCTCTTATGCTTGGGTGCCGAAAAAGGTATCAAACTTTTTTGGAATCCATGTAGGGCTAGTGCTTCCACAAACGATTTGTTTTTTTAACCTTGTAGCCTTTAACCGCAAGGGACCCGACGGATATCTGGCTTATGAAGGGATTATGGGGTCCCTATTCCGGCTTTTCCAGGGCAGATTTGGATAGCCCCACATGTAGAGGACACGGAGTTCATGGGGAGAGGGGATATGGGCCGGGGCTCTTTCAAAACCATGCGAGACGGACCCGTTTAGGGCGTAGGATTCAGTCTTTCAAGCCGCAAACTCCGGATACACCTCCAATTGAGAGTTTCTCGATGCAACCTCTATGCACTCGGGGAGGGGGGGAGTATAGCTAGTATAGCCCTGGTATTAAGCAATCATTACATCTCCCAAGCCTCCTCAACGGTATGTACCCAATTTTGAGAGATACCCATTTCGACACCATGCATATCGCAAAGCCTGTCTGGAGGTTGAAATCGACCTGGATCATGAAGGACTGCTACTGGATGGAGGCAGCTGGACTTTTGCCTTCGGCCTGAAGAATGCCAGCACCGTGCATTACCGCGGAGATGCATCTCAGCTACAAGCTCAAGGTGATTGGTGGCTAGTAGGAATGCGGGTATGGATCCCCTTCGTACTAGTACTCACCATATTGGCCCGACTAAAACTCCCGACAGCCCATTCCCATGCCCTATTGCGACCAGATGCTTGTGCGCCGGATTATCTTTGATGCCCATTTCGGCTCCATGAGTTGCGGCTATCATTACATTTGTGCTCTCCCTCGCACTTAAATGTGCCCCAAGATCTCAAGGCAGCACAGGATGGGTGATGAAACGCGGATGAGGCCCTGAAATCCAATCACATTCACTTCATCAACCGTGGTTCCTCGAACATCTAGATGCTATTCGCCAGGTGTGTGGGGTGGGGGGGGGGAATTTTTGGGGAACTTGATGCCAAAAGCCCCATGTTCTTACAATGCCAAGCATTTGAGGAACGAGCTCGTGGCTACGATGTTTGCTGCGATTTCGTTCGAGGCTCGCAGTGCCAGCGTCGGCCAGCGTCATGGCCTGAGTTTCTTTCCATACCCCTTTTGCCAGGCTTTCTGTACCTCAGGCTTGCTTTCCGCTTGCCTCAACGGCCCCCTGCCCCAGGCTCCCTCCAAGTTACCTGCATCCATACGGACATACTACAGTACCAGTCATCTTCTGCTTCAGCCTAGGTCCAATGTCAGTGCCGCAGAGTCTTCCTGCGCGAAAGACTCAGGCCAGGAATGCCTGGAGCTGAGTCTCTTGCCCCCCCCAGGCCAAGCCTCCACTTACACAGTACTATATTATAATAGGGTACATATTCGGGCTAGTTATATGATGATAACCCCATCTAATAGGGATCATAAAAGGGATCCTCAATTAGGGCCCTTAAAAGGAGGGGGTTTATTAATCACGGGTTTACATTAATCAGGAAGGTCTCCTGCGGCGCAGGGTTTGGGCTGAAGACCACTGAGGCGTTGAGAATGCCAGCAACTTCAGCAGGCTTTATGCCACCTCTGACTGTCCTTTGCCGCCTTTGATAACGGCTTCTGTGAGGAGGCGGGCCTGGTTAGGGGGAATATTGGGGTGCTTTACGTACTTAGGGTACTATTCAGAGATTATGCAGGCAGGGATTATACAGGGATCATATAGGCATTACATACGAACAATACTGTAGAAAAGAACGCAGAAACCTTTATGTTATAGCTATACACACACACATATATATATACACATGTATATACATTATCATATATACACACACATAAACACATGTTTTTGTATATGATACATGGGTTGTATAGGGATAATGGAAGACAGAATGGGAGCTACTACTTACGACTATTCGGGGTTTAGGTTTTGGTGTCCGGGGTTAGTGTTTGGGATCGAGGGTACACTGTGGGCAGTCAGGATTTAGGATTTGAGGGCGTTTGGCTGCAGTGAACTTTGGAGTACTGATCCCGGGAGCTGCCGATACAGTTAGAGGCCTTTGAGTAGCTATATGATCTATAGTCTAAACTCCTTAAAGGAGGTTATATAGGGGATTATAAAACTCCTTCAAGGAGGTTATATAGGGGGTTATAGGTTATTAAGGGGGATACTAGGAGTTCAGACATCGGCTCATATGCTCCTCACGAGAACGAAACGTGGTCTAGACAAGCTCCTGCTCAAGGTCCTAAGATTAATTTCTTGTACTACATGTAGTACTGTCGCCAGTAGTTCTATGTTCCAAATATGCTATATAGTAGTTTCCATCTTATTTTCCATTATCCTTAAACCCTAAACCCTATATGCTTGCTGCAAAGGCCGCTCCACTTGAACATGACCGGCCAATGGGGAGCAGCGCTTCAGGTCAAAGATTCCTCCGGCGAGGAGGCTTGGAGTCATGAAACAGGACAAACCCCTCTGGGGTTTAGGGTTTGGGGTTTTGGGGTTTAGGGTTTAGGGTTTAGGGTTTGGGGTTTGGGGTTTAGGGTTTAGGGTTTCTAAACTCTGAACCCCAATACAGACACCTGTATGCTATAGTCCTTAATATGGGGACCCCCAAAAAGGTCCCCCTAATTTTGGGAAACCCATGTATTGTTCCAATTATTGTTCGGGAGGTCGCCTGCGTTGCCTTTGCATTTGCGCACTCGATGCCGGAAGCGGAGCAAACTGCAGCAGGTGCCGCATACCCTTCCAGGTCTGAACCATTTACTTTGGATTCTATATGGATCCTTACATAAACCCTAAAGCCCCCGTAAAGAGGCTACTGGGATTATGTAGGGGTCTTTATGGATTTATGGCCTTCGGACTGAGGGTTTAGAGTTTCGGCCCCTTCTTGAACGTCCCTGTGGTGAGGATCATAACAAATTCGGGGCCGTCGATTTATGGATACCACATGGGAAGCGATCCAAACTTCCCTTTTTGGGCGTGCTGGTGGGGCGTTTCATGATTCGTTCGAGAACTCACTCCAAAAAAAGTGCTACATAACTTCTGCAGAACCTCTTTGGATGCAGGTTACTTAATCCCAGGTGAGTACGGTATAGTTGAACCCCACTCCCCAAGCCCTAAGCCCCTTTTGGCTATAGGTGGCTCAGCTGTGCATGCAGAAGCTTACAAAGACGACTCGCACCAGCGCGGTGCACAAGCTCCTTGGCAAGCTTGTGAATTCAGGATCTTGGGTGGTACCGGTGCTTGCGTGGGGAGGGAGAGGAAATAGGCACTGCTAGAAGGGGTAGAAGTGCAAGTATGTATATGCACATGTATATGGGGCTTTTATAGAGATCATCATGTTTTGATGGGGGAGGTTTTCAGATGTCAGTCCTCCAGGTAAGGAAATCGGCCCCAATGTTCTCAGTCAAGTAAATCCTTTGAGGCATCCTGTACACTACTTGGGAGTCCGGGTGAACTCAATCAAGGATCAGACGTCTTTGCCGGAAGTTTCCTTCCAGCACATTGGAAGCGGCCAATTCTGTGAAGATGGCGGGGACCTCCTAGAAGGAGCCTCGGATCAATTACTTGGTGTAGTTTTCGGGTTTAGGGCAGACTAGGGCGGCTACACAGACGTTTTCAGGGGATCCGCTTGAAAGCTAGCTTCTGGTAAACGCGCAAGGAATGATCTGCGGGATCCGTGTTAGAACCTTTTGGTAAGGGCGCCTCACTCTTCAAGTCGAGATGATTATGGCGCAAAAGGAGGTGCCCATTCTTTGAGATTCTTGGGCTAGGCTAGGCCTTCGCCTACTGATAGTGACCACAACCAAGAACGGTAGTCTATATTCCCGTTTCAAGTTGCCATGTCCTGTTGGAGTCCACGGAGTTCACCTGCCCCAACACCCCAAAGCCCTTACTCTTCAGAGGATATGAATCCAAAGCCCTTTGCACTCTGGGGCCTGAACTCCCAACTCCACTTGTCACAGGAGATTAGCGCCTGAGATTCCACTAGCACTTGTTGCAGGTTGGGTGCTGCCTTTACTGACAGTTGGATAGTCATTGTTTCAAGCCCGTTGCCTTATAACAGACCAGGTAATAGCGATAATACTAATACTAATAATGATGATAGGAACAACACTAAAGAGTAAGAACAGTAATACCAGCAATAATCGTACCCACAGCAAAAACAGTTTTATCTCAACATAAGAACGACAAAAGCAAGAATCACAACAACAGCAATAGCAATAATATTCGTAGTGATATTTGGTAGTTTCCCAAAATAGGGGGACCCCAATATAGACCCCAAAATACTATAGTCCTTATTATGGGGACCCCCAAAAGTGTACCCCTAATTTTGGGAAACCTTCATTTATAGCAACAGCAACAATAATGCGTGTAGGAAGAACCCTAAACCCTAAAACCCTAAAACCCTAAAACCCTAAACCCTAAAAGCCTAAAACCCTAAACCCTAACACCCTAAACCCTCAACCCTAAATGGGGGGGTTTCTAGAAGCAGGTGCCCTGGACGACTACGGCGGCCTTTCCCCTTTTGGAGGCCCTGGGAAGGTTTTTACGTGGGCGTTTGGAATTTGTGGGCCTCTTTCAAGGGATTTTTTTGGGGAAAAATACTTAGGGCCTTTGGGGATTGGGTGGATGGTCCTAAGTGATAATGGGGAGCTGTTTCAGTCTTTGAGGGTTGTATTCCCCGAGGCTGCCCAGCGTGTTGGGGCTGATGTAATGACCCGAGGGGAAGACAGTGTTGATGTTAATCAGGGTCTCCCGCATACGAACGTGGAGCCCCATATAGGCGCCTATTAACGGGGCGCTCGCCTTCGTAGGGACCCGTGTGGGGTCGCATGTGAAGTTGGGGGACCTGGGACTTAATGCGCTGGCCCCTGAGCTCGGTGCCTGCGATGTTGATGTAGGTTTCAAGGGGGTTTAGGTAGCGCTCAGCTTCCAGGTAGTGTCTACATACTCCCGGCTCATGCCTACGGACTCCTCCCCTCATCATTCTTCCAGAATTTCCGTGCAGGATCTGCGTCAGGGAAATTGCCATGAGAGGACCTTCCATAGCCCAAATGTACACCTTATATGACTTACCATGACGCCGTGAGATGTTCAGTACCTTCCATAACAAATGCTGAACCAAAAGATCCGAAACCCATACAAATGATTACAAATGCTCGTTCCATGGGAGACCCCTCCAGGTGCTCGAAGAGCGAGCGCCGACAGCTCCATGTTTTATGGCTCCAAGTGCCGCGAACGCTGCCGCCGCAGAGGCAACTGTCGAAGCTCAGCTTCCGAGCTTAGTCCCATTATATAGGGATTATTGGGTATATATCGGGATTCTATAGGGATAATGGAAAAGAAAATGGAAACTACTATAATGGGTTATATGGGGATTATAGGGTATATATTGGGATTCTATAGGGATAATGGAAAAGAAAATGGAAACTACTATAGTAACTTTTGGGGCCCTATATTACCCCAATAATGGAGAATCAAATGGAAAAGCAAATGGAAAATGAAATGGAAACCAGGTGTTATATGGGGTTATATTGGGATAATGAAAAAGAAAACGGAAACTACTATTTAGGGTTAAGGGTTTGGGGTTCAGGACCTGGGAGTTTCCCTAAAACGGGGATCTCTGTGTGATGATGCTGATCGTATTTTGGGGGGCTAAAGGGTGGCATTTGGGGTCGAGAGATGAGGGGGTTTAGGGTTTAGGGTTTAGGGCTGGAAAGTGGGGTTTAAAAGTTGGCGTTTAAGGATTAGGGTGCACTGTTCGCTTGCAAGCCATGTGATGGGAAGCCATGCTATGGCTAGGCAGAGTTCATGTCGGGACGGGAAAAGGATTGTGCCATGAGGTGTCTCTGGCTTTATGGTGATGGTTCTGACAAGACTTAAGGTCTACGATGTTCCGTTGGATTTCTTTTAGAGGTTGGTGTGCGAGGAGTTTTAGAGGCATGGATACAGCTCGAGGTGTTTGGCTGGCTTGTCCGCAGGGAGGCTATGGGCCTTGGCACCGCCAGAGGCACAAATCGGAAGCCCCCATCTGCACAGAGGTCTTTGCATCACCCCGGCCCCAGATAGCCTGCGCCAAACTGAGATGAAACCAGCCTTTTAAAGCCCCCTTTCATTAGGCTGTAGTCTTCGCAGGGCCATTGTTGGGGCTCCATGTTAGCTTCGGCAGTACCAGTTCCAATTGTGGCTCAAACATTATCCCAATATGACCCCCATATAACACCTGGTTTCCATTTCATTTTCCATTTGCTTTTCCATTTGATTCTCCGTTATTGGGGTAATATAGGGCCCCAAAATTTACTATAGTAGTTTCCGGTTTTTTTTGGAACTCCAACAGCCAGTTGGCCACTTCTCACAACCTGGGACCGTCTCTCGCTAGTCTCCCCCGCAAGTTCGACCCACAAGTAAGAGCTAAGAACGCCCGTGGTACATTATAGCATTTTATAGCACGAATATACTACAACATAGCACATTATTTTGTAGTATATTGTTATTAATATACTATAAAATAATTGTGTTTGCAACAAGCCCAGGATTCTACACGGCCTACAGCAGTGGTTGGTGCCAGTTGTCTAGCCGCTGCACGCTAGCTACCTGGATTAACCCTGGGCTCTTCAGGGTTTGGAAAGGCGCCTGAAGTTCACCCTAAACCCTAAACCCTAAACCCAAGCCCCCTAAACTCAACTAGTCGGATCCCCTGTGGGTGCAGCGCGCAGGAAAACGACCATGACCTTGACACACAGCAGACCGACGTGGGCTTTCTTTAAAAGAGGATGTATCGATATGTAAGGATATTACCCAAGAAACGGAGAATCAAATAACTGGACAAGAAATGGGACATGATATGGTTATCACTTGGCAGCTCCTCCGAGCATCCAAGGCTAGAGCAGGCGACCCTCTCACCGTGACCTTCGCAAAGACCCCGCGCGCTTAGCCATGCGTCGTGGAAAACGCCAGACACAGGCCAAAGACAGGTTGACGAAGATAGCATCAGCAGCTTTTGCCACTGTATTCTTATTTCAGTGTTTCTCGGTAGGACCGTCTGTGGATGTCTGTGGTCTTGTTCGTACTCTTTTTTTTTTTATCATGACCAGTGAATCTTGCGAGTTGGATATTTACTTCAGAGTCGGCATCCTCTATGATTTGTCATCCTTCTTTGCAGAGCTCGTGGGATTGTGACAATTCCCATTCTGATGGTCCTAAATTCCACGTGAGTTCGACTAGGTTATATGGTACCTCATATTTAGAGACCTCTAAAGGATTGTTAATTCTTTTAGGTCCCTGCAGTATACTTATGTGCATGGTGTCATGAGGATTATGGGTCTGAAATGGCATCTCCTTCCTTCCTCAAGTCAAGCCAAGTTCCTTGCCCCCTTCTGTGCCACAAAGCTCGCGAAGCATATGGTAGTTACTTAGTTTCCCTAAATAGGGGGTCCTAATGTAGCCCCCAAAATATTATAACCCTCTTTATAAATTTATAGGGACCCCTAAAAAGGAATTCACAATTTTGGGAAACCCCATATGATGCATAAGTTTTTTTCATGGGAGGAGAAGCCCCATCTCCTGGAGATTGGCGATGGAGCGATTGAAGATTGGTGCTGCGGGCACTGATTTGGGAGTTTCTGGAAATGAGGGATACCATTTTGGGGGTCTATCCCTATAGCAAGGATTATATTACTTGGGAGTCTATAATGGGGTTCCCCCATCTTGGACATCTACGATTTGTAGGGTTCCCCTGTGATTTGATCATGCTGAAGCAATCTTTGCTGATGCAGATTGGCAGTGCATACTCAGAAGAGACATGTCCGAGCAGTGAGGTACTTGAGGTGGTAGAGGTGTTGCTGGTGGCTTTCAATCTAGAGCCCCTCGCTGGGTCCTTCACAAGTCATATGGACGGAATTATGACTCCAAGACTGTCGGACATAGAGCCAGGTGTTTATCCAGTGGGCTGTCGCGGAGCAGGCAAGGCTTGTGTGCTGCTATCCATCATGTGGCTTTACGGACAATCTTCTCAGCCATGATGGCAACTGGAGCTATCGAAAGCGACGCACGAAAAAGAGAGTCCAGGGCCAGGCTGTACGTAGCGTCTTCTGACCCTAATATGTACCCTATCATAATATAGTTGTTTCCATTTTCCCCATCATCCCTATACAGCCCCGATATAGTTCCCCTTTAAGGGCTCTTATCATCCCTATATAATCTGTATATAGTTCCCCTTTAAGGGCTCTTGTTTTAATCTGGCAGGGCCCCGGGCACCGAGCACTCACGCGACCAGCCAGACCTGGAAGCCTTCGAGGAGTTCACGCCCGAGGCTGGTAAGAGATTAAAGGGGTTCAGGGTATACTATTCTTAATATTAGGGTTTAGGGGTTTAGGGTTCAGGGTATACTATTCTTTATATAAGGGTTTAGGTTTCAGGGTTTAGGGGTCTAGGGTTCAGGGTATACTATTCTTGATATTAGGGTTTAGGTTTCAGGGTTTGGGGGTTTAGGGTTATATTATTCTTAATATTAGGGTTTAGGGTTCAGGGTTTAGCGGTGTAGGGTTTAGGGTTGTACTATTCTTAATATTAGGGTTTAGGGTTTAGGGGTTTAGGGTTTAGGGTTATACTATTCTTAATATATTTCAGGTCAAGGAAAAGAGATGAGAAGGTTCAGGGTATACGGTATATATATATATATGTATACATATATGTCTATACATATATATGTATGATGGATAGTTCCCAAAGTTAGCGTCCCATTTTGGTACCCCTAAATATTAGGTGTCGTATTATAGTCTATAACCAAACGGGGCCCGTGATTTTGAGAATAATCCATACATTACAGGTAGAGGCTTCAGGGTTTACGAAGATAAGGGCCTAGGGTTTAGGATCGTTTTAGGTTGGAGTTTTTGAATGTAGGCTTTGGGATCCGGGGTCTAGCGCCTAGGGAAGAGGGCTTGTTCACTGCTGGGGGTGCTCATTTTGTCAATCATGTTTGACATTTGAAAGGAGATCATGTAGAACAGGTTATAAGGGTCATCTCTTTTGCAACAGGAGTAGCAATCCTAACTTGATAGCCCCGTGGATATGATGGTTGTGGTTGCGGGCAGCGTGGCGGTGATCCTTTTTGTTGTAACAGGCTATGTGGTTCATTTATTGTTTTGGCATGTTTGTTCCTATGTGGACGCGCCTCATCGCACAACACGACACCCTACACCCTAAACCAGTAGGCTTAACAACTATGATGACTACTAATTACTAATGGTTTGTTACTGGAATTCTCACTTCTGTCATGATGTTACTCTTACTATTCCTACTTTTCTTACTGGTGGTTAGTAGGTTTCACGGAATACATTAGATCGGGATTATATAGGGATTAGCTTAATTATATTCCTTTATTCCTTACTAACAACCAGTAAGTTGAAGGGTCCTGGTTTCCATTCCCCTTATGGATCCATGTGGTATAGGCAAGCACCATTTCTGACAATAGTACCAGGACAACGGTTAAGAGGGAACGGAGTCATCTCTTCAGCTACCCTAGCGAATCTCTGCATGCCCCCCAATGCGTAAACCTCCGTGCAAATTTTCGTACTTGACAAACCTTGAATCCGAATCCTTCTGCCCTAAACCGATAGCCCTCTTTTGAGTCGCCTCAAACCATGGAGGCCAACATCATCACCTACAGTGCTGCCGTCAGTGCCTGCGAAAAGGCGGGGGCGCCTTGAATGAAGTTTGAAGGTCGGCATAGGCTCTCCGGCTCCACCGTTCAGGCATTGGATTGTACAGGGTCCCCGGGAGCCCAGTATAGCTTAATTAAGGAATATACCTCAAACCATATAAAAGGTCCCAACAGAACATTTAAGTGAAGGTATATTCCTTCTCTAAGCTATATTGGGCTCTCTGGGGTTAAGGGTGCTTAGGGATTTGGGATTTAAGCTTCAGGCTCTGAGCTGAGTAGGGCGGTCAAAGGGTTCCCAATGTAGCGTTGCAGGGCTAGGGACTGACCTAACCACTGTAGCTACTCCATGGCATTAGGAGTGCGAAATTGTTTCTTTTCGAGGATTAAACGTGCTTAGCATGGACCGAGGGTATGGGTTATAGGGATACTGATCATGGGGTGTTGTATATACAGGGACGCTCCAATCGCTACTAACCACCAGTAAGCCGTGTCTGAAAGACCCCCTTTGACCCAGCTTAATTAAGGATTATACCTTAAATTTGACTGGGACCCTTTACATGGTTTAAGGTATATTCCTTAATTAAGCTATATTGGGCTCCCTGG